CATGCGCAAAAAGGCTCGATAGTACGTCTCGATAGGTAGATCAACTCGTCAGAACACCTGTTGTAAATCTTATAACGGTACGTCTTACCGGAGCGTACCGGCTTACTTTCACCCCTGAGTATACGTTATACTGAAGAAAAACTGAAATTGCACAGGATACAGGGCTGGGGTATGTGGGCCAGAAGAAATTATAATAGGCTATATATATATTTCAAAATTTAAGAAAAAACAATGGGAAAAACTAATATCCTATTAATGTCATGTGTCATGCATGAAGACTACTGACCAAAAAATTATGTTGCAACAGATATATTTAAACAAAACATTTGTGAGTATTCGCATTCACGCATTCATTTTTGATTAATTTTGGAAAATCCTGCGTTTTGGTATCGCACTAATCGCATATTGCGCCGGGCCCCTCCCAGACGAAAATAAGTGCCGACATGCAAAATAGCTATTTAGCTTTCGGTTTCACATCTGTTATGTCTTTTCGTAGATGATTACTGCTGCTTTTCACTAAAGTAACACTCCCCGAGAGCAAACTCGATGTCCAGAAACAAAAGATGTTCAAGAAGAAGAAGGAGAAAGCGGTCGCATGCGAAAAAGATGAAACAAATAATATATAAATGTGCATCGTGTGCTAGCTCAATCGACAAACGAGCTAAAGGTCGAGGTGGTGAGTCAGTACCTATTGTCACAAAATAAAAATGTTTATATAAACGGTCAAGTTTACTTTTAAATTAATAACTTTTAAAACAGACAAAATACTATAAAATGATAAATGTTCTTGTGCGTTTTTTGTGAATTCACTCAACGTATTTATAATTGAAATGTTAAATTGCTCACACAAGGTATAAGTGACACAAGAATTTATTTTAGTGGACTGGCAGAGCCGATTGCAGCCCACGCGGAAATCTGTTGCGTCTCTCTTCACCGGTAAGTGTCACCGCTGGCGAATCCCGACGCCAGGAGAATGTAGTGTAGAGCAAAGTGAAATAGGCGCTCTAGGCAGCTGCCTGCATCGTGTTCTGGTATTACTCTAGTAGTGTACAAGGTCTACATAACTGTGGTACGTTAATATTGTATAATTTCACAAAGTGGTTTTCACCATTAAAGTACCCTTAAATTCAGGCTAATGCCAACTTCACAGCTTCCAAAGGTGGGTCAATAGAATACAAACACAGCCTGGGGAGCAGTGCGGACCCAGAGGAACTATCTGGTATATGTAAGTACGTAGTATTGTCTGGAAATTACATAATTTACTTTTAAACAGAGATCAATAATAATAATGGAGCAAATCAATTAAGTTATACAATTTGATTCTGTTAGATTTAAAAACCAGTTCGACCAAATGCCAAACAGTAAATGTGTTTCAGTAACGTAAGTTAGCTTGCAAACAAGCAATTAGTGTCAGGGTCAGCTCCTGTCCTCCTCAATCTTTGTCTTGCTGAGAATGGCCGCTATCTACAGTATGTCATGCATGTAGTTAATGTTCCAGGTTCCATGCATTGTGTGTTCTGTACTGGTGTCCTGCTTAAGTTCAAACTTTATCCCCGTGTGTTTGACTGTGTATAAGTTACCCACCATGTGTAGTTCCCATTGTTCGTACAGTGACCCTCCCCCTGTTCCTCCAGTTAAAAGTAATGCCTGTTCTTGTATGCTGTTATATAAGCAGGTGTTGTGGTGATTGGTGTGATTCACAGTCTTAATGTCTATGAATGTAAGAGCTTTAACTAGACTGCATTTGTGACATAGTATCATGGCCAGAATCAACAGATACAAAAATACAGTAGAAAGTCTACACCTGTACATTTTACAGTTACTGTTAAGTTAACTGTTAGTTTTACATAAAAAAGCATATTTTAATCTGAAAATGTTTGGGAAAAATACAGACTTAAAGGTGGTTATACAGTACAGAATAATAACATGTACCATATTACATTAAACAGTACTACTGTAATTTTTACTGTGAAATTCTGGCAACCACAGCTGCCAGTAATTTACCGTAAATTTAATGGATTTTTTTTTACAGTGTACTAAATGCACTTGACAGCCCATCCTGGGTTGTTCGCTGCCTTGCACCTGTGGCTCCAGACTCCCCACAACCCTGAATAGCAGAAATACCAGAAATTGGGTGGATGGATAAAAGCACTTGTGCAAATTATAAATGCAAAATAATGCATTTTTTATGTTTTGAAAGATTTTGTCCCCCCCTCCCTCTCACAATGGATTGGTCCACTCTCTTCTATCCCACTACCATACACATTAACTTGGTATGAGTGTCTGTGACACAGTGGTGGGTTACCATCAGTAAGCAGCTGCTTTGCAGATTTTCACTTTAATCAGTACGTGTGTGAAACGTTTATTTTTCTAACCAGATAGCTCCATTGCCTCGTTGGTGAATCTTTAGCTTTATTTAATTTAGATATGTTAATAGGTGTTGCTTCTATCCTACTGTAAATAACCTGCATGCTGTGTGTGTTTTGTCAGCCAGCAGAAATGGCAAAAAGGAAGACAGACATGCGACTGATTTTCAGTGTTCCAAAACTTCAAGTAAGTAAAACACAAGTCTGCAGTCATATTAAAGGCAATTTGATAAAATCTTCATAAGAAAACAACAAAGTGCTCATGGAAATGTTAACATAATGGTTTAATTTGACAATGATTGATCATCAATCAATCACAATCAATTATCTAGTATATATCATAGTAACAAGGGTTTCCTCTATGTCAGTGGTTCTCAGTCCTGTTCCTGGTGCTCCCACGGTTGATCGTTCCATGTCTAGGCAACTTCCCACTTATGGAAGGCCTTGTCCAATGGTAGGTCACATCCTGCCCCTTCTGATGATGATGACGATGATGATGAATAAATAAATAAATAAAATATTTAACTTACAAGGTTAAAAAAATATTTTAATGTTGGATTTGATTCTCAGACTGGAAACATTCAGATCGTTGACAAGGGGCATATTAAGCTGTTTGCAGCTGTTCTAATTGCTTGTGTTTATGATGGTTTTTCCTTAATTTTTTTTTTACCGTTTTGTAATATGCCTCTTGCATTATATTAGACTGTGGCTGTTTATTAATACATTTATTTTTCTTTATTTATAGACATATGTATACAATCAAAATGCAATAAAAAAAACTAGTTTAAGAAATAATCAGTAAAGAATACGTTTTCTTTATTCCTGTAGTTAATTAACTGATAAGAGATGATGTTGCTACCATGTTCTTTAATATTAATATTACTTATCCTGAAATACTTTTAAACCACTTTCTGGAATACTCCCTTTAGTTGTTTAATTGATAATAGATGGATACTTCCAAAGCTGTTTTTGATTGAACAACTGTCATTGTAAAGTATAACCTTTACCAGAATTGGATGCACGCAGTATGGTTGTCTTTTTATTTTCACTTGTTTGCTCAAAATAAACAAGAAAAACTTATCACTGCTGCTAATGCTTGCCTCCAGTTCCAGTTCACAGTTTCTTTCGGAATGCAAACTTAAATCATTCAGTTGCGAAAATTTTGCATTGTGTTTGGAATGAAGGTTTTTGGTCCATCAAATTCACATCCAAATATTTGGGAAATTGGTGTCGTTTTTTTATTTTTCGGTGTGAAACGGCCTTCATCCGTTAACCTTTTTACAATTTCAAATGTCTAACCATTGAGTAGCATTGGTATGCTTGAACTAATGCTGTCTTCACAGTTTCCACGAATGAGTTCACTGATACCTCCAACAGTCTGGGGAGCAGTGTAGACCCGGTGAAACAACCTGATATACGTAAGTAATATTAAATGGAAAGTACATTTTATTCTGTTAAATTGAAAGACACATAAGTAGGGCAATCACTAATTAATTATAGTAATAATCAAGTAACCAACCAATTTATCTGATGATTAATCGAGTTATTTCTGTAATCGAGTAATCCTTTTCTGCATTACTTTGATGTTTACTTTTTTTTTGGTCCCCACAAGGACCACAAGCAAGAGAACTGTGATGCGTTGGGGAAAAATCCGTGATACACTATAGTGGGGGTGCGATAGCTGAACCGCAATATAGCGGGGGATCGCTGTACATAGAAACACTGTCTGTTTTATATTTATGTAAGAAGTATACAAATGTCAATTAGATGGTAATCTGCCTGAGACATAATGAAAAAGAATAAAATAGGTTATAATGATCATCCACTTATAGTGATTAATTTCACCCGAACAGACGTGATCACTATAATCGGTTTCCATTCTGTATGATTGGGTTGTTGGAGATGTTATTGCATCCCTCACATCCCTGAGGCAATATCCTTAAAGTAATTCAGCATTTGTTTAATGTTTCCAAGACACTGCGACGTGGATTGATAGCAGCCATTTTGCGACTGAGTGTGAATTAGTCTTAGTGACTTAGGAGTCCTCTCGACTACTTTTTGGTTCTCCCAGACTTAGGTGCTACTTTTACGCTAAGGGGCTTTATGAATATGGGCCTTGATGTGTAATTACAATGATACAGAGGTGCCTTTCTGAATATATTGTTGTTGTTTTTTATGTCAACTTTAGGTTACTATGGACTCCATAACCTGGGGGCCACATGCTACTTAAATGCAGTGCTGCAGACACTATTCATGACCAAGCAATTCAGGGAGGCTGTGGAGAGGTGGGAAAATTACAATGCACACTTGTCATTGTAGTACAGAATAAGTAAAGCAATTTAACTTATATTTAAATTGGGAAACTTTTTACAGTTTGAAAAGCCGGTAAGTAATCACATGTCAAGTTGGGGGTTGGGGGGTGATATTGTCATCCAGTCATCTTGAAACTGAAAGTGATGGGGAAACATTCATTGGTTACTTTCTGTTTTTTTTTTATATAAACCATGAACTAATTGACAGAATACTGTAAATACCCATTTTCAAAGCCTTATTTCTCTCATTAACAACTATATTTCACAACAGTCCAACTCTTTCAGATCATTTAAGGAGTGTGTTTAAGATGTTAAAGGAAGGAACCACAGATGTGGGAAATGAGCTTCTAAAAAGCCTCGGCATCACAAACAGTGAGTTACATCCATGAGAATGTCAGTGTTATTCAGATTGAATTTTGCTTCGAATTTATCCAAATACAAGGAGGAAATGTAAATTAAATAAATTTCATTTTCCAGCAAATGAACAGCAAGATGCTGCAGAATACTTTCAGAAGATTGTGAGCTCATGCAACATAACCAAGGTGAATTTGAAATTCTTTCAGCTGAATAAGTTGAAAATCACTTTCCAAAATGTGAAATACAGCAAATGTCCATTTTCCCTGTAATTTTATTTTACTTTCTTTAAGTTATCCTTTTACATCTACATTTCGCTGGTGTAGATCTACCACGGTACACTTAGAGATTCTACCAAGTGCCTGAAGAAAGGACATACGAATGGATCAGAATCATCATTTGTGATTCTGCCACTGGCTCTTGAATCACGTCAAAGCTACAGTGTGGTAAGCAGCTTTATACATGAGCTTGTAAAGACTGTTAATCCACTTTCTACCAAACGTAATCACCTGTACAACATGGCAGGTCTCAAAAACCTTACATTTATGATCACAACCAGCAGGGATACTTATAATGAGCTGAGTGGCAAAATATCTTGTTTATTATGAAGTAATTATTTTTGTATTGTATAAAATAAATCCTCTTCACTTACAAAATATACTTTATGATGAAAGATCAATTGCCATCTGAAATACAGACTACCATAATATATGTTTACGTACTTGTAAATCTCTAGGTCTGCATGTGAGTTTAGCAGTTTGAAGAACCTCAGCTTCATCATTAAACCTAGTTTCACCTTTAATATGATGGCTTTCCCTAACATTGTTCTGTGCTTTATTTTGCAGGAGGATGGTTGGAAGCAATTCTTCAAGCCCTCATTTCTGAATGGTGATAATCAGCTGTACTGCGACGATTGTGATGAGAAGACAGATGCAGAAGCTGTAGGTTATTGCAATAGTCATAAACTTTGTTTATAAGTAGTTTATTGAGGCGGCAATAGCTGAATTTCGCTGTAACCATAAAAACCAAAAGCAATTTGTAAAGTTTAGTATGTCAACCTTTTATACAATTACGTATTTAAAAGGTGTTGCTCATGTGAGACTGCCTACCTAGAGCAAAGCTTCACATTGCTGTTTCCGGAGGGATTGTCTCTGCCTCAATATTGATTGGTGTGGCTGAAAAGGGGCTCTAGGTAATTTTTCAAAATCAGTTACCCATAATTGTATCATACAAGTGGAGTTAAGTACAATTGTCACACTTATTGAAAAAAAACTCTTTATCCTGTTTGATTACCTTTGTCTAGGAAACAAACGTTCCTGCTATAAACAGTGCAGTTATACTGTATGCACAGCAAGTACATTTATTTTCTTATATCAGCAAACCAATCCGATGTAAACCAGGGATTCCTGCTCTGTTCTTGAAATAGTCTTACTAGTTGAATAGTGAGGGGACAGACTAAGGAAGGTTAGCGACTGAGACCCGGGTTGCGTATGTGAGGGAGAAGAGAAAGGAAAGAAGATTTAAGTGCCCTTTGGATTGGATATTTTTGTAGCAGCCAGACAGGTTTAGTTATGCCAAAAGCTACAAGATGTTGAGTTTTTTAAAGCTGAACATTGTCCCCTGTGTTCCTGGAATAGTCCACAACCCAGAAGATGTCAGTCTAACCCGGGACAGATGGGAAGCATGGGAGCCATTATGGGCCAGCATCCTCGTGGAAATGCTTTCTACACTTTCTCACTCCACGATGAACTGATGCTCTGGGGGGGGACAGTATATTAGAGAATGCATCGTTAATATCTTATGTACACACCGTGTATGTACAGTACTGTGCCAAAGCCTTTTATGTCTGTCAAATCGTGTTAATTAGCCATTTCACAACCTCAACCGAGTAATTTCAGGAACCATCCGATATACCCATGCGTTTCTAGACTCAACCATCCAAATATTTTTTTTTATGTTTATTTAAATTCCACTACTGTTCATTTGCGTATAATGTAATATTAAATTGAATGTTATTGTTTTTTTCTGAACAAATATACAGTAACCAGATAAATAGCTTTAAACATTTCCTTGAGAACATAAGACTTTTACATATTACTGTACTTCAACCAATCTCTAGTGGTTTATAATTTAAACCTTGTCTGATTCTCCACCCTTTGCAACTCAGGTTTGTGAATTAGTGAGTTATCCTGAGGTCTTAACTTTACAACTGAAGAGGTTTTACTTTGACTACAACTACATGATGTATATGAAGAACAACTGCAAGGTGGAAATTCCCGTCGAACTAGTCACTCAGGTACTGTAGAAAGTTTTTTTCCTGTTGTTCATGTTCATTGATTAACAGATTGTTATTGTCTAACATAACAGCAAAGAAACTAATTAAAAAACTTGTTCATATATATAAGTATCTATACAAATAGTACTAAAGCACTGTGTTCAGCCTATGCGTAAAAACATTTTAATATTGAAAGACTAACATTTTCAAGTCACGAAACATATCAAATGCATAATATACATTCATTGGTACAGCAGACCTGTTTGATATTCAGACCTTTGCTTGGTTTCACATTTCTTTGTCTTAATATCTGCAGTAGTGAAACTTCGTAGTAGTATAAAACGCAACTAAAACCAAAAAGAAATAAGTACATAGAAAATTAATGTTTACTGATCTGATATCCTCAAGCAACCTTCATACTATGGAATCTGTATAACCCAATTTTTTAAGTTACATTGTTGAAAATAAGCTTCATCTAAAGGTCAATGATAAAACTGAGGAAGAAGAACATTCCCCTGCAGAACAAATCCAAAACCAACTTAACTATTTAATCTTGATAACTACTGTCAGAAAGTATTCATGCCAAGTAGGCAATTGTTGCAGGTACAGTATAAGCTGGAATGCATAGTTATTGCAGCCTGACCTCGTGGAACTTACATAAAGTACCGCAGAATATATGTGCAAGTATTATTACATTTTTTTTTGCATTTATTGAAATCAGACTTTTCTAGTTTTCATTCTGAGAATTTCGATTTTTCTCTCTCACAGAAATACACTTATGAGCTCTATGCTATAATCAAACATAAAGGTTCTGTGAAATTTGGACATTATTACACGATCATCAAGTCATTTGAGGGTGGAAAGTGGTACCATTTTGATGACAGCCGGGTCACTGAGGAAAACCCCAAGGTACAGCTTCTTACTGTATCTTAACGTCGGCATATTTATGAAGAGGGTGATTTTTCTTCAGTAATAATTATGATTATGGTTTAAAATAATCAAAAATTTCTCTTCAGTGGCAATTGACTAGATTGGACAATGGAGAATATTGAATATGTCCTCTTTTATCTTCAAAATATTTTCTTTGTTGGCCTAATGCCTGCCTCAATGGAGATGATTATTGAAAGTCAAAGCTGAACTCCATTCCAGGACTTATTTTTTGTCTATTGTGGATTTATTTCCCTGCAGATTTACAATGAGAAGACCATTAAGTAAGAAGTCTCCTTCATATTATTTTATATTGTGTTCAAAATTTGATGATTTGTGATTTGTTTTAGTGCAAACAATTTTAATTACATCAATCAACTTTATTTTATTATTTAACTTTTCCTAATTTATGTAATTGAAAGACACTTGCATCCCACAGATCTGATTATGCCTTTATGCTGATGTACACAAAACGTGAGTCATTTTATTGAAAATCTTCTTACATTCTCTTTTTTGATGCTCTTAAGCAAAAATTTAAAAATTGTTTACTGGATTAGCCAAATAAGAATATGTTTTGTTCTAAAGAAAATTTCTGACTGTCGACCAGGATCAGGAGGAAAGGAACACGCACAAGGAGCTGAAGGTGGTGCTGGAACAGGAGGTCAAGGTGCTGCTGATAGGTGCATCATCCCTGACCTTGCAGGGGATAGTTTGAATGCTGTAAGAGGTGTTAGAGTGAAGAATTATGTTACTGCTGAAAATGCAGGAGACAGTGTTTCTGGGGAACGCTGCACTGATGAAGTAAGCAAAATTGTTCAACATCCTGTTAAAGCTACGAAAAAGGAACAGAGAAAACATGAACGTGGTGCTGCCAGAGATACTGGAAGCAAACAGCAGTTGAAAAACAGTGGAAAAGCAGGACATGAGGACAGGGTTGATAGGGTTCCCTTTAATAAGGCAGGAAACAGAGACTATCATACACAGTACTGACATGGTAATAATGTTAGCGGTGAAGGTGAATTAACATGACGAAGTGGAGGTCAAGTGTTGTTGCCACTGGCAACACTGGCCATAGGGAGAAAACTAAAAGAAGCATCGACATTAGAGATGCAGATTAATGCTCTCATAAGATCACTGATAACGTAGAAAAGGTAGTCGAACAATAGGGAACCTTTTTAGTGTCAATTTCTGTGTATCAGTAAAAGATGATTGACTGCCAATAGCTTTGTTGTACGCTTAGGTGGTATCTACAGTATTTTTTCATGCTGTCATTCCTGATAGACATTTCACCCTGCAATATGGTATATGATAGTATTTTTTAAATAAAAAAAAACACAAATCGTGCTGGCTTTTATAAATCAGAGACAGCCTAAATGGGCTCATCAGTGTGGAAGTTGGGCACTAGGGAAACAAGGGAAACTCCTTGTTCAAGAGTTAAAAAGGTCACTCTTCTTTTATTGACACCACTCCACTTCTTCATTGTTACAGAACTCACTATGTAACCACCCCCTAGGTTATATGAGAAATGTAGTAAACCAATCTGTAAAAACTGTACAGTAAAAACTGTAGCGTGAATGTAAACTCTTAAGAACTTGGGCAAAATCGCTGTGAATTATATTAAATATTAAATGGTCACCACAAACAAATTATTTCTTTTTGACTTCCAAATAATTCTTCTGTTGACTAAGTTCCTTGTTGTAAGGAATTCTTTTTCATTTTAGATTTGTATTTTCCATCAGTAAAACAGAAAAAACAGTTGCAACTTCTGTGTTTAGTAACATGTGCGATGTTCACAAATATTTTCAATGTAGAATGAAAATTAAACAATTAGAATGACCTCCGGTGGTGCGTGTTGTGCACAGCAGTACAATAAATCACCTCATTTCAGCATCTTCATATGAGTTTAACAGAAAGACAAGCATCTATATTTCTGAAGATATTAAAAATAATACCTTTGGGATTTCTAATTGTTAACTACTATGTTGTTCTTTACATTGTATTTCCTTTTTGATTTTTTTTAAAGTGCTGCTTTATGAAATACATAAATGTCTTTTATAATACATAGCTATAATACATATACTGAGCCAAGATTTGCAACCCAAAGACACATTAACTGTAAATGGAAAATGTAATCATTGTCATGGTTTATGATGCCCAATTTGGCTTAGCCCTGCACTCTGTCCTCAGTATTTCTTTGTCTGAAAAAACATCCCTTTTTCTATGAATCAGGTTACACTGATGTTTTATGCTTTCTTACATTCTGGAATATTTCTTGAGTTCCTTTTCTTAGTCTGTACAACCAAAATTAAGAAATAGCAAAAAAGAAAATCCTTTGTAAACGGTTGGAGGACAGATGGATAATATTGGATTTTCCGATTCTCAAAATAAGACTGTACCGGTTACCTCTGAGTCTTTCTTTGGCATTGGGCAGGATTTACGGCTAAAACAACAGGGTCAGATGCATAAATTACAAGGAAGGGGTGGCAGCAATTACTGTAAATAGAACTAGGTATTTAATTGCACCTCCAAAGATGAGATCTGCCCCCTGCACAGAGATCTTTAGACATTATAGTCATTCATGCCTTCATCTGGAGGTGCTTGGATTAATTCAGTCCTATATGGATTACCCAAAGAAATCCATGACAGCTCAACTCATCCAAAATGCTGCCACTAGATTGTTAACACATCGTGAATCTGACATAGACTTCTCTTTGGATCTTCGTAAAGCAGTGCTTAAGAGCAAATTTAAGAAAATATTTAGGAAGATATTGGTGAATGAGGCCCACTGTCTCTTCAGAAATAAAACGTAATTAGTGTCAATGTATCTACAAAAACAACTAAATGACAGTCTGGTCAAAAATGTTAAGAATTCAAAACCTGATTGAATTAAATAGAATTGCTGTTACAGGCAGCTGTACCTTTAAACATTATCACCAAATGATTTTAGGTTTCTGTGATTATTATATATTACAGACCTGGTCAAGATTCTATTGGTATTTGCATATCATGAGCATACAATACAACACATTTCTACTCCATGGTAGCCAGGGGTGGCACGGCCCCCCTTTGAAATCTGATTGCCCACCACAGTGCACCCCCCCACTAGATGAACATTATTTGGGTTTTGTTTGTAATATTTACCTATTGGCTTCATTCAATTTGTATTGTGGGTTGTTCCCCTGAATGCGCAATTCAGGCAGCAACCGTGCAGGCCAGCAGATGTAAAACTCAAGCTTCCAGTTGGTGATCCACCAGGCCGACACATGGTCCAGTCCCACCCTCTGGAAATAGCCATCTATCTACCACAGCCAGGTGATACATGGGTACTGAAGAGACACGGTACCAAAGGTCAACTCTGGTCATTGGATAGCATCCATGGCCTCTATTTTGACGATCTAATGCAAAGCGTAAAGCGTGAGGCGCAACTAACATTTATGACTGTGTCCAAATCCATTTCGCTATTTTGGCAGCAGAAAAACCAGACAAAAAGGTTCTCCTAACTCTCTTAATTATGCAGAGGTGCATTTTGGACATAACATGCAATAAAACAATTAGGTGGCATTTTCAGAAAGTGATCGATCTTAGCGAATAACACACAAGATAACGAATTACGTAAGTAAAGAACAAGTGAGGTCTATGTGCGTTTCCAGAAACCCCTCGTTATTCCAGAATGATCTAACAAACTTTATGTAGTACTCTGTTGGATACACAGTGAGACTGAGGGCAAAGTGCAAGCACTGATGTCAGCACAAAAAAATAACTTTCCAGGCTTTGTCTGAGGGAATTACCAACAGTCCATAGCATTGTGTCATGAATCATGGGGTTACCAGGGGAAGCCCGGAAGGGTAAACGGTAGACAAACCATTTCTTTTAGTTATTTATTATAGTATGATGCTGTTTTGAAAAAAAAATGACTGAATTGATTATTTGACAATTACCTCTCATGCACTCTGTAAGGCAGGGGTGTCCAATCTTATCCGCAAAGGGCCGGGGTGTATGCAGGTTTTTGGGATAACCTGTAGGTCAGCTGTTCAAACCCAGGTGTGAGGACTCTTCAGCCAATCAGTCCTCTAATTAGTAATCTAATTAGGGAGTTGAAGCGAAAACCCGCATACACACCGGCCCTTTGCGGATAAGATTGGACACCCCTGCTGTAAGGCAAGAGTCTGGAACACGTTCAGATTAGACAATTGGTCCCTTAAGTGTCTTAGCTGTGATGAAAGTGCAAATATTAAAATAAAAACCCTCAAACTCATGTATGGAACAAGTTTTGGCATTGTCATGTTAATGTAATATGTTGCAACATGCTTTTCCTTTTTTATTGTAGCCATTGTATCAGTACGTTCAGTCAGACACCAAGACAAGTGCAAAAGAACTAGTTCATTAGTTCATTGCACATCACTAATACACACACACACACACACAAAGGTTTGTAATTATATCTTGTGGGGACTCTCCATTTATTTCTATGGGGAAAAATCTGATCCCAACATAACAACCTTAAGCCTTATCCAGCCCTAACTTTAACCATAAGTAAACAAACAAAATATGTGACTTTTGGCATTTTTAGTTTTTTGATTGCATTCATAGATCTTTGTGGGGACATGAAAAATGGTCCCCACAACTTCAAAATAACAAGTTTTTATAAAATTGTGGGGAACCTTTGGTCCCCACAATATAATATTAACATAATCCATACACACATAGATCTCTACTCATTTCTTTGTGGGGACCATCCATTCATTTCTATGGGCAAAACCCTAAGCTCAACAATAACAACCTTAACACGTACCCAGCCTTAACCTTAACCATAAATAATCAAACAAAATACAAGTCTTTTGGCATTTTTAGTTTTTTGATTGCAGCCACAGATATTTATAAAATTCAATTTACCCTTGTGGGGTAGAATAACAGGTTTTTATCACATTGCGGGGACATTTGGTCCCCACAGTATAATGTATTCCTGGATCATGCACACACACACACACACACACACACACACACACACAAGTCAGGTAAACATATCTTTATGGGGACCACTTATTCATTTCTATGGGGAAAAGGCTAATGCTAACTATGACGACCTTAACCTCTACCCAGCCCTAATCATAACCATAAGTAACCAAACAAAATACAAGAGTTTCTGCATTTTATAAAACTGAAGTTATCCTTGTCGGAAAATGTCAGTTATATATATTATTAATCACACAACTTTAAAATAAATATCATTTTCAGAGAATAAAATAATAAAAAAGGAAATTAATACATTTATGATTTGCACTAGTGTATATGTTAATGACTGATTTGGATACACAGGCTGGAATTATATAACAAAGTTCAAATGATAGCTTATTAAATAAATATTAAAAATGTATTATATGTGCCAAAAAACCTAGGCTAACTGATAAAATAAAAAGCAATAACCGTTACAGGAAAACAAAATGTTATAAGCAAGAATGTTCTATTACAACGCATAAGTAGCAGGGCGCAAGGTTTGTCCTTTTGGTCTTACCTTACGTCCTTCCTTTCTCAAATTCCCAACATGGCTGCGCTCAGGAGCGGGGTCACTCCATGTTCTCTCGCAAGAAATTTACTGAGAAATACAGATAGAACCGGCAGTAGTGCGCAGCGGTTAATATCCAGGCAGAGCTCGGTAGGTTTTATTGAAATGCTTGCGTTAGTTTCACTACAGCGATGGCAGTCCAGCGCTTACCTGTGTGTGGCTGTGACTTTGACAGTCGTTCATGTTTCTGCTACAACGATGCGTAACATCGTAAATCGCTTGACTAAACGTGTGATTGAAGATTTAATCCATTATGAAGATATTTATTTTGTTTCGCTGCTTTTTTTCTTCACAGACGTTGCCCCAGAAAACACCGCATCGTCCCGTCAGAGCCGTCAGGGGTTATATCACCTGTGCCTCCCTGAGTCGGCATCACAATGGACACTTATTTATCAACTCCGTATCTATCAGGCATAATAGCTCACAGGTAAGTGAAGTAAGATTCATTTTTATATCTAGCAATGTCTTATTTTCTTACCCTGCATTCTTTTGAGTTAATTTTAACCTGCCTTTAAAATGTGACTGATTTCAAACGCTTGAATGACAGCTGCTGTCATTTAATTAAATAAATTAAAATAGTTTCTGTAAATGACTTAGGAACGGTATGCATCAGATGTGTCCAAAAATATTCATAAGGCTGCTGAACTATGAGAACAAGTAATATAACAGATATACAGAAGTCTGTCGAAATGTAAATATTATTGAATGTTTCATATTTCAGACAGTGGCTGAAGCTGTCACCTCATCTGGCACCACCTCGGACGTGCCACCTCCTGCCCCAGACCCCAGCCCCCTATCAAGCCCCCTGCTCACACAGCCGCCAGTAGAGCAGGTCTCAGAGGTGTCTCCGGTGGCCGTAGATGTGCTGCAGGGCATGGAGCCGGAGCTCAGCCTATTAGAGCTCGGCCTGGGGGGATACACCCCCGTGGGAGTGATTCAGAATATCCTGGAGTGCATGCATGTAGACATGGGCATGCCGTGGTGGGCTGCAATTGTAGCAGGTGAGGAGCTGCAGTTGCATATGACAGTATGGGGGCATTGTAGTGTCGTCTTAAAATGCGTATTTGAGATTTCTTCACCTGGAATATGCTCGCTTTGACCCTTATGAGCCACACTACAACCAAGCCAGCTGATCAACAATAATAAATATGACAGGCAGGCACCTGCTGTTTAGGCTTTGCAAAAACCGTTTACACTTAACTGAGCCGCTCTGTCTTTTACTGTGAGGATGTGCAAAGGTGTGGTGTCCATGGTAACAGATTTATGATTCTTTATGTTTCATATGTAATTTACTATTTGTGGTCTGATTGTTTGCCAGACAGTCCACATATACTAAAATAATATTTATCTTTTGTCAAGTTCTAATAACCATAATAACCTTGTTTCTTAATTCTAGCTAATGAGAATAGTTCTTAAGTTATTCCAATTGGACAGAGTGTTACATTGGATTTATTGGGTAAATTGCCTCCATTTTAAGGTCTCTGTCTTTTACAGCTATAGCCCTTTCCTCTGTAGTCCTGCTTAGTGGCAGTAATTCTGTTGCAGTTCCTCTAAAAACTGACAAAAAGCCCTTTCAAAGGTGGAAAGGTGGCAGGGAGGGACACCTGCAGGTTTATCAGCCCACAGCCCTGGTTCTTGCCAAACCACATTGCTCTTCCTGCCCGCAGGCACAGTACTGGCCAGGTGCGCGGTGTTCCCAGTGATCGTCAAGGGCCAGAGAGAAGCAGCTAAGCTCAACAACGTACTGCCTGAGATGACCAAGCTCAGTAACCACATGAACGAGGCCAAGAGGAGTGGAAACAAGTTTGAGTGTCAGTCTGCTGCCCCCCCCCCCCCCTCAGTGTTTCTGAGCTTCACTGCTCTTCAGGCTCAGTAGCTCATTGACAGCCAGCTCTTGGCCACTCTGCTCTGTTGGCCGAAATTACAATCAGCAATGCTGTACTGTGCATAACCTGCATTTGATTTTTCTCCTTGTATCAGATGCTCTGCTCTGATATTTTCCCTCTTTCAGTCTCAAAGGCCTACTCAGAGATGATGTTCTTCCAGAAGAAGCATGACGTTAATCCCCTCCGTGGGTTCCTAGTTCCTCTGGTGCAAGTATGTTCCTTGTATAATTTCTTTTTGTATGTTGTCATGAAAGGTACATTGTGAAAACCATAAAAATCCTTTCCTCTCTGTTTCAGGCACCCATCTTTGTCTCCTTCTTCATTGCCCTCAGGAAGATGTCATACCTGCCAGTTCCCAGCATGCAAACTGGCGGACTGTGGTGGTTCTCTGACCTCACTGCTGCTGACCCCTTCTATATTCTTCCGCTGGCAGTGACAGGAACAATGTTTGCCATTCTTGAGGTACTGCTTCCTTAACAATGCGGCCTTGGTGGAATGACCAGCTGGTTTCATGTCTGATCTCAGAGGTTGCATCCACCCTGCTATAATGTTGGGTTTTGAGTAGTTTTTGACATGACTGTGCAAATCTAGGCTGAGTAACGATTTAGGATTGGACAGAATTAGTTTGGTTGCTATACCAATAGCGCTTTTCCACTGGCATACAGGAACCAAGCCTTCCCTGAGTCATACCATGAAGTGAGACTAGTTACAGCACGGTTCCAGCCGGCTTTGGTTTTCCACTGCAGAAAGGTCGGCTTTGTAAAGGCGTTATGGGGTTTTACAGTGACGTAGAAACCGAAGAGATGCTTATTTACCGTTCACACGGTGTACATCATGATTTACTATGTGCTAATTCCCTAATTTTCTAGCACATTTGTGAGAATCTCTGTCACGCAAGCATAAAATGCTAGCGGGGTTAGTGATCACTTGCATAAATTTGCATTACAAATCCATTCCGATTAGCTGTTCTGTAGCACTTATTTAAGAAGGAGGTTAGAAATTTTCAAGTGTTGTGTTATAGGAGATGCATCAGTATATCGCGATGTGGTGACGCAGCCAGCTGGGTTTGCTCATGCTAGCCGGGCCATGTTAGCGCGTTACAGCTCAGGTACAGCAATGGAAAAGCGGAGAGTTTTGGAGGTATGTAATTCAGTGGTGAGGGATCTTTTTTATTACTCTGAAAGGTTCATCAACCCAGGTGTAAATCTCTCCATATCAGCTGGGGGCCGAATCAGGTATTGATAACCCCAACCTGCGTGCGATGAAGACCGTGTTCAGGATCATGCCCTTTGTCATCCTGCCGCTCACCATCAACTTCCCCACGGTCAGAGAAACACCTCTGCCTGCCCTCTCACGTCTTATCATTGTTTATAGTAACATTTGCTTGTTGACTGCTGACCTCTCTCACTCTCTCTCTCCCCCCCCCCCCCCCCCCCCCCCTGCAGGCAGTATTCACCTACTGGATGACCTCTAACCTCTTCTCACTGGGCCAGGTGGCCTTGCTTAGACACCCAGCAGTCCGACAGAAGCTGGGGATTCCCGATCGCATCAAGCACCCTCAATCTGCACTGCCACAGAATGAAGGCTTCATCAAGAGCATAAAGTCAGGTACAGGGCTCCAGCAAACCCCAGTACCGCGTGGTGGCTAATGGGTTGGAGCAGAGTGCCTAGACCAGGGGGATGCAGTCTTACCCGAAAGGGCCGGTGTGTGTGCAGGTTTATGGGATAACCTGTAGGTCAGCTGTTCATACCCAAGTGTGAGAATCATTCAGCCAATCAGTCCTCTAATTAGGGAGTTTCAACAAAAACCTGCATACACACAACGGCCCTTTCTGGATAAGACTGCCCAACCCTGCCTAGACCAATACGGCACTCAACTCTAGAGTGTGAGAACCAATGGGCCGCAAGTGTGTTACATTCGTTGGAGACGACCGTACACATCTGAAGGTGTTGTAATGAAAAAAGGAAGATGGGCAGAGTGAAACCAAAATCTGCAAATATCTCTGTGTACGACAGACTAAAATATGATACTTTATTCATCCCTGTGGGGATATTCTCTTTTCACCTACCCCTTCTTGTTTTCCATGAGACACACAGACACATACCAGTGAGAGAAACCTTAGGGGCCACAGCACAGGGTCAGCTAGGGTGCGGTGCCCCTGGAACTGGGGGTTAAGGGCCTTGCTCAGGGGCCCAATGGTACCTTCAGTCTGCTGGCCCCGGGATTTAAACCCACAATGTTCTGATCACGGGCACTGGGAGCCACACACCAAAATGCATCTTCCCATATATGCTTCATTTACGTTGCTTTCGGTCCTTATCTATTAGTACATTTCCAGGTGCACCGAGATGCTGAAGTTAGCATCCCCTAACCTTAGCATCCCCTAACCTTAGCATCCCCTAACCTTAGCATCCCTGTTTTACCGTCTCTCAGTGGGTGACCTCCTGTAATGGTGATTTTTTTCCCCCCACCTCTCTCTCATTGCCCATCCCACTGGCACTAATGGTGTGTCTTGTCCTGTGGGGTCTCAGGCTGGAAGAATGCTCAGCTGGCCCACCAGCTGGACGAAAGAGAGAAACGTATAAAGAACCACCTGGATTTAGCAGCCAAAGGTGAGAATATCGGTCGGCTCCAACGGTTCTGTGTTTTTTTGGATGTAAGTGTATCTGACAGGAGTCATTTTTCTACCCCCTCAGGCCCCCTGAGACAGACTTTCACACAAAATCCTTTGCAGCAAACAGCAGCGTCAGGCGCAGCACTAAAAGCAGCCAATCCCAAGTCACAGACAGAGACAGCAAGCTTGAAGAAGAGGCCCTGGGAGGAGACCATTGGATAAGGGAAGAACCAGGCGCTTCAGTGCTCCATGAAGATGTAAATGTGCATATAGGTCGAGAACGTGAGGAAGATGGAATAATAAAAGCAATTACGTTTAAAAGATGACGATCTCAGCAAATGTTTGTTGCCTGAAATGCCGAGTTTGACTAAGTGACCTCAGCTGTCTCCGTCCTGTAGATGATAAATAACAGGAGACGAGGACCCTAAACCTAACCCCCACCATCTGCCTGGAGAGCACTTTGTCTGATGCCTGAAATGATCACACTGTTCTACTCCAGACAAGCAGAGTGACACATGGGTATTCTGATTAGACAGATGCATGTTCGGTCTGGGATGTACTTTTCCCACAGTTCCCACAAGTTGGAAGAGAAGGAGGGTGGAGATGGACAAAGGGCTGGAGGTTGTGTATGTAGAGAACATCCAGTTCATTGACTTGTTCATTGTATTAATCCTGATTTTCATGTTTCTGTAATTTCTCTCCACTCAAGATGAAGACATCCCACCTCAGGAATATCGATTTCAGGGGGGCAGATGAGGGACAGCTGGGATGAGGGGTGCTGGCCAGTATTTAGGTTATACCACATACTGTGGTATTTTCGGTCATTGTGTCAGTTTGCAGGAGACTCTCGGAACTTCCAGGACAGGTGGGGTGACTGAAGATAATCTTAATGTCCCACTAAACCTAAATCTCACTCAGACTGCTTAAGTCTTTAGCCTCTCCCATCAAGCATCTCACTCAGCCCTGATTCATGGCCCCTGCAGTGATAGCCTTAAGATACCTACTACAGTTTTGCTTGATTCTCAGACTACTATATTACTTTGTTCATTGTTAATGCACTAAAATAGTGATGTTTCTGTCCCTACCCAGAATAACGATTCCATCTGTAGTTCTAAATACATGGTAGTGTTAAAGGGCCCTACATTTATATGTGTGTATTTATATAGAGAATGTATGATAGGATCACCAGACATCTGTATTTGTTCTGCTAGGGGCATCGTACAAACAAATACTAGGAATACAATTGAGGAAAACAATTTGATTTCCATTTCTACTTAAAAAGTGCTTTTTGTTAGTTTAGCAACCTGCTTACCCCCACTCAGGTGCTACAAGGTATCCATTCATCTCAATAAGTTAAACAGGTAATGCAGAATCATTATTTTGCTAATATCTGCCGGCTCATAGTCGGTCACCATGTTGGATCCTTCAGCAAGGAGGACAAATGGTGCGTGTGGAGGGTTAAGTTCCCGTTCATTCCAGGTTGGGAAGGTTCTCCTGATGGAATCGGCAGCCTGCTGAGAGGCTTCAGGGCTCCGAGGTGAGCTGGCCAAACTCGAGTGTTGGTAACTGGGCAGTCTGTCTTCAAGTTGATAGCCAGCAGGTGTTCTTCCAGTTGGCATTTGGTTCACGTAGTTAGAAGTTCTTTACAGTTTTGTGGGTCTTACTGTGTCTTGGTATCGTCATCCATCTCCGTCACAACAGAATAGCAGACCTTCTGAATGAAATGACCTAAGGATGCTGAGAATGGGGACAGGGTGGAGTGCAGCAGTGTCAGTGTCATTACTTCATAACAGAAGGTCAATCATGAAATACATTTATAATGTAAAGTTTAACTTTAGCCCCATTTGCAGCATAAGTCAATGACAGGTCGTGGTCTCAGGTTCTGGGCCTGCTCACCGATGGCCTTGCGTATCCAGAGAGGCCTGCGATGGGCAGGAGTGTAGCAGCACAGGAAGTAGACGGGCACTCCTGATAGGGCAATGCCGATGCCAATCAGGGAGTTGACAGTGTCACTGTAGAGCGGGACCACCACGAGGAACACCGTGCACAGACAGAAGACCACTGGGAAGAAGATACTGAGCTGCGGGGGGGGGGGAGTCAGACTGTTACCATACTGGAACATTAGCCAGGCAAGTGGATTAAGGTCCATGTACACAGTATTTAAACAACATGAGAGCAGATAATGTACTTTAAATGCGGAAACGCTGTTGATGTGAATATGGAGCCTCACCTTCAGGGGTCGTTCTCGGTCAGGTTGCTTCCAGCGCAGGTATAGTTGCCCCAAAATGGACAGACCCACAAAGAACCAGTAACTGAAGCTGTAGTAATTGATCAGTTTGAAGATGTCCTCCACACACAGATAGACCAGGGCCATGGCTCCCTAAACAGCAGCACATAATGGGTCGGTATGTGCATACTGGCACGGACTAGTGCCACATTCCCTTTTTAATGTACAAAACCCCAGAGATGGGCATCCACAAACGTGGGCAACCATGCATCAAAGTTACACACCACCATGCAGTGATACCGACATGCCACGTGAGTACACAGCACTGCGTGCCCATTCGCTGTCACACACACGCCCAGACAAACACGTAATGGCAACGTGCAGAGGACCCGTGAAGGGACTGACATTGAAGAGCAGGGCAGGGATGGGGGTGAAGCGGTGGACGTGGATCATGCACAGGGAGTCAGGGAGATGGCCCTCCCTGGAGCCCACGAAGAACAACCTGTGAGACAAGGAGCGAGACACCATCGTGCATGGAGAGAAGGCACTGGGAGATCAGGCTACTCCAGTGGTTCCCAAACGGTTTACACCGCATACCACCATTATGACCAATGTCATAAAAGGAGATATCTCCATATACCACTAGAGGGCACTCACACACTATAGTTTGAGAATCATGGAATTCCATAAATCGAACTCAATACGACTGATCATAAAATAGGCTTGTGCATCGGCTGTCAGCAAACCATATTAGAAGCAGAACCCTATTAGCCCACAGAAGCTCTTGACATGCAGAGTATCATTTACTCCATATTTCCAAACACCCTTCGGCTGTCATGTACGGAGCAGGCTGGTGATGACACTGATGATGAGCACCACTCACCGTGAGGCGGCCAGGATGGATGCATTGAGGCCGCCAAAACAGGAGAAGGCGACTGCAAGTGGAATGGTCCAATTGAACACCCCAAACACCTGATCCGCAAAAGTCTGCAACACAGGGCAGAGACCTCCATTTGATCAATAATAATCAATTAAAAGCTAAATAAAGTAAATGTGTAGCACATTCTACATTGAACACAAACGGAACATGTGTTTTATAGATAACAACCCTACTATCATTACAGAAAATATGTTGCAATTCCCTGCCATCCTTTGCTTTGAAGTCCAACTCTTTCACTTCTCCTTCGGAGCTGCATACGGTCTTACCACAGCCACAGCATCGCTGTCCAGAATGGCCTGGATATCTAGCACTGTGTAGTAGGCCACGTTGGTCAGGATGTAGATCACAGTCACTATTGGCATAGAGATGGCAATGGCCAGTGGAAGGTTTCTGCAGTTCAAACACCAGGGGGCGACAAACACCGATACTCAGTACAAGATGACACCCGAAGGTTGAGATGTCTTCAGTTCTGCTGCGAGAGCAAATTCATGCATTTTGTATCCTTACTCATTACATTGCAGGGTTATACTTTAGATATTAAACTACAGATTTTTGTAATTGTGGACACGTTTGATCTGCCCAGCTACTAGCTGTGTGAGGAACATCAGTCCAAACAGTAAAACAAGCTGAAAGTGATGATAAGAAGGATGTTACTACTTTGATATAGGCCACCATCAGAAAGGTGACCTTTGGCCCTCACCCCACCCTCCTTAATCCTAGTTAGCCTGTGCCAGCTGTTTCTCTGGCCCCTCCATGCCTCCTTCAGCCCCCCCTGAGCACTGTCTGGGGCCATACTCCTCATCCCAGTCTCCCTCCAACCCCCCCCCCGGGGCTCTGCTGCAGTACGGAACTGACACCCACCGCTCGGGGTTCTTGATCTCCTCTGTCACAAAGTTGAGCGTGTCCCAGCCGGAGTAGGAGAAGAGGGCCGAGTAGAGGGCCAGAGCCACGGCGCCGGGGTCCTGCGAGGAGCCTTCAAACAGCCTGTCGAAGTTCTGAGTGTGACCTGGTGCCGCCGGGGCAGGGACACCGACAGGGAGCGAAAAAGGAAGACAGAGAAACAGAGAAAGTTACTATTGCCAAAGGCTTCCATTCTTAGAACATTTAAATTAAAAACATATGAGCCCTCGTTCCCGCTGTCATTTCCTTAATTTCCTTTATTGCCTCTCTTTTAAGACAGTCTTTTCCCCCAGTCAGATCTCTGGGCCACCCCCTGTCTCCGTACCCTGGAATATCTTGACCAGGCCAGTGATGATGACAGCAATGAGGGCGACGACCTTGGCATAGGTGAAGAAGTCCTGGACCCGCGTCCCCCACTTCACATAGGCACAGTTGACAAAGGTCAGCAAGCCTGAGATAAAGACACAGAGTATCCTTCAGCCCCTAGACACACACACACAGACATAATTGTGAGTGAAGTATGTAGGACAGTGTTAAACCAGACCAACCAAATTCAAAAGGTTTCAGGCATAAACTCTGGCAGGAAAGTATTTAACCCGATTTAGTAAAACACAAAAATGGGACACTGTAGCAAAAAGCAGAAAAAAAAAGCCTGCTTCTGCATCTGGTGGGAGTACCCTAGCGCCCCTCACATACCACTGTGCTAATACTTTGCTTTATTATTAATTCCCATTCCAGGAAAAGAGGTTAGGGAGGTCAAGTACCCTTCAGGTCTCAGATCAGAGAGTAATCCAGGCAGGCATGGATCCCACACACACGGCTTGAGATTACTCTGTGTCTCTGTGTGTGTGTGTGTGTGTGTGTGTGTGTAAGGATGTTTAACTGCCTCATGGGAATCAGTGTCAAGACAGCCAAACCTGGAAAAAAAACCTGATGATTTGGGGAGATCCCCTAAAACTGAATGTCAAACAGTATTTTATTTGTTGCAGTGTGTTGTTTGTAATCATACAGTGTGTATCGCACTAGGGAATGAATGTATTGTTGTGTTGTGTACGGCAGTATATCAAACAGGGAGAGTCTCTGGTATAAGGAAATGGGGTTGCTGACACCAGCAGTCCTGTCTGTTGTTTTTCCGTGACAAAAAAAGCTGAGAACAGCAGGGAGAGAAAGAGAGAGAGAGAGAGAGAGAGAGAGGAAAGAGCACATACACGTTTATTGACTAGACATTATAATACACTACTTAGTACATTATCTTCAGTACAGTGAGAGTGAATGACTGAATCAGACACCTTGTGCAACACAGAGGACGTCACTAATTGTTAATATCAGGTCTCACGTGCCTTTCACAGGCTCCTGCTGTGATCCCCCCCCACTAAAATCAAAAGAGGAAGTAACACAAGGGTAACAAGATACAATGCCATGGCTTCTTCTTGCGTTTACCAAAGAATTGATACAAAAGCTAATGCAAACATGAGATCCTATACTTCATTTTTCTTTTTTTTGAGCTGAACAGCTAAAGTGAGCGTGACCCTAAACGTTTGTCACACTGCTGCTCGCCCCGTAGCTATTCTGTGAGCCGGTCGCTGCAGTGCACGGGAACCTCCAGTATGAGGCAATTTAACACTGGATGACCTTCACTGAAAGAGAGGGCATTCTGCACCTCCCAGTGCCTGTCAAAGCCGTCTCTCGCACCCATTTATGAGCTTGGTGCCTGACCTTATCTCCCTCTGCTGCTTTTGCCAATGTTTGCTCTACAGAAACCCAGGTACATTAGTGTTTCCAAAGGACATGCCTCCTCCATATGAAACACTTGCATTCTCAGCACCTAAATTTTTCTGTAGAACTGCTATATTAAAAGTTTAGGGTGAGTATGAAACTGCTTCCACAGCCTGTGATGGCTGAGACCTCGGCTGACCTTCCTTATGTTCCTCTGTTTTTCAGTCGGGTCTTTCTGTCCTCTTAGCAGTCTTACTCTACGTCGTCATTAGTGATAAGTGTAAGGGGCAAAGTTTTAATCCAAGAATGGACTTTATCTTGCCACTATCAGCAAATTTGTGTTTTGCGCAGCTAATCAGAGTGTGCCTCTGTGATTTTGCTGAGAGCCGTATTCTCAGATCCGAATGCCCTATCTCTCTGTAATGTAGGAAGCACATGTCCAAGTCTGCTCCGGGGGTGTCAGACCCCCACATCCCATCTATTTGCTATTGGCATTCTGGTTCCCAGAATTCTAAAAATATTTACTTGCCATACTTTGCTGTCCAGACTTACACGCTCGTCAACTTAAAAGTATATTGACAGGAAAGAACGATCTAGTTCCGCCATCAGTATTGTTATAGTGGCAAATCCCGCCTGTTTCCTCCTCCGCCCTCCCCCCACACCCCACCCCAGCACTTTACTCACAGATGCAGACAGCAGCTAGCAGGCGGTTGGCACTGTAGGGGGCAATGCAGGTAGGGAAGATGGGCTGCACCATGTAATTTGAGAAGGTAATGGCGATGACAGCCTGGCTGGTGGGCTCGATGATCAGCAGCGACGTCCACAGGCGGATGAAGGCCAGGAAACCACCGAAAGCCTCCAGGATGTAGGCATAGCTGGCTCCAGACTTGGTGATAGTAGTACCCAGCTCTGCGTAACAAAGTGCCCCAAACACAGAAAAAACACCCCCGATGGTCCACACCACCAGCGACAGCCCATAGGAGGCGCTGTACATCAGCACACCCTTCGGAGAGACGAAGATCCCAGAGCCGATCATGTTGCCCACAATCAGGCAGACTCCATTTAGGAGGGAGATCTCTTTCTTCAGCTTCATGCACTCTTCTGAACCAGTTGCCTTAAGTGATTCTCCTCCATTGTTTACCTTTGAGGCAGGCTCCTGGAGAGATGCAGGGACGTAGGATGCCATTTCTGTGTGTGTGTGTGTGTGTGTGTGTGTGTGTGTGTGTGTGTATAAACACTTATATATAATGTGTATGTACGTGTGCTTAAGATGTGCACTGTGTGCAGTCCTTATTTTTTACTGCTGTCCTTGCCGTTATTGTCCAGCTGTATTTGGCATGATGAAATCTGCAGACACAAAGAAAAAATCCTCAGTAAACAAAAAGATAACAGTATTCACCGTTTATTTTTGTGAGCATTTTTTTCAGTTTCTGATCCATGACTACTTCTGTGTTTTTTAACGTATATTTACTTAATCTGTTTATGTTTGATAGTTTGAAAAATTATCTACCCAACTGAGTATTAACTGACTAAAATTCATTAGATAGATGCTTTGCAGACATGAGCTCTTAGTGCCCCTGTTTTTACTTACATGCTCATATAACTGGCCATCAAAAGAAATGCCTCTTGCTGTCACTTAGATGAAAGTATTACTAAAATCCCCATGGGGAAATTGTCTTTTCAACTATCCCATTTGCTCTCCATGAGACACACACACAGACATAATTGTGAGTGAAGTATG